ACAAGCAGCTCACCATGCAATTTTTAACTACACCACTCTAGCGGCTTGCTTTGTTGTTATATATTTACCTGGGTTTCTTGCTTCTCCTGTATCCCACTCTGGGAAATTTACACTACCCAAGTACTGTTTGGCTTGGGTTTCTTTTTTGCTGAGCATGGAGCAATAACATACAAGCACCATAGCTCAGCCTATGAAGGAAAGCGTGACTAGAGTGACTGTGTGATATGTGTCAGTGCAGAGAGTTGTAATCTGCTACTTGTTTATGCTGATGGCAGGTTACAAGTCTCTGCAGTGGCATATTTCTGCTGTCTGGTGTTTTGGGAGGCTGGAGTGAAGGCTTTTCCTATGCCCTGCCCCACAGACGGTCACATCCTGTCCACTGTTAAAACTTCTTTCTGGCAATGCAGAACTGATTTAAAGCTGAGATACATGTTTTTGTTGGTGGTGGTGCTGGTGTGCCCCAATTTCTCCCTGTTGGCTGCATAGAATAGAGGTGTTCTCCATTTTGAAAGCAAAGCAATGATTTTTCATGGAAACAAAATATTCAGATGTTTATTGAATTAGTCAGGTACATGATACTAGGCCTGTGTAAAAAAAATGAAGCCTCTGCAGTAAGCGCGTAAGCTGCTGTGTATTGTCTGGCAAAGCCATACATCAGGGGGCGGGCAACCTTTTAGAAGTGGTGGGCCGAGTCTTCATTTATTCACTCTAATTTAAGATTTTCCATGCCACTAATACATTTTAACATTTGTAGAAGGACTCTTTCTATAAGTCTTTAATATATAAGTAAGCTATTGTTGTATGTAAAGTATATATGGTTTTTAAAATGTTTAAGAAGCTTCATTTAAAATTAAATTAAAATGCAGAGCCCCCTGGATTGGTGGCCAGGACCCTGGCAGTGTGAGTGCCATTGAAAATCAGCTTGCATGCAGCCTTTGGCACGCATGCCATAGGTTGCCTACCCCTGCTATACATTGTTACAGATGCAAGTGCTATGGGATTTTTTTCATATTTTTGTGAAGATGGGGGGTTGCACGTCCTAGATTGTAAAACAGCGTCTTCTCTGCACAGAACTCATATATTTGGGCTGAGTACAATATATAGGTTTTGTTTCTTAGGGTCTGATCCAAAGCTCATTGTAGTCAATGAAAAAATTTCCATTGGCAACATTGAGCTTTGGATCCCATCCAAAAAGAATAGCTTCTAAAAAAAAATTCCCCCCTGCTTACCATTAAATATGTGAAATACTCATCCCTTTTGTAAAGCATGACAACAGGTTTATCCATTAGAACTAAAACATCTGGACACAGTTTGTACATTAAGCAAACCTATATGTGAACACTTAATTAGCACAACACACCTTAATAGGCACAGTTGCAGATATCTCCTAGATCTTATTTAAAGCATCCCACAGCTAAATAAATAGTGGGGCACAGATGCTAGAACTAGGGGTTCTGGTGGTGATGACGCATCCCTTGGTTTGAAGTGGTTTGCATCATATATAGGGTTTACAGTTTGGTTCAATGGCTCTCTAGCACCCCCACTATAAAAATTGTTCCAGCATCCCAGAACGTGGACTCTACCCTGAGCCCTAATGCCTACACAGCAATTTTTAGCCCTGCAGCTCAAGCCCCGTGATCCTGAGTCAGCTGACCTGGGCCAGCTGTGGCCATGCCGCTGGTTTTTTACTGCAGTTTAAACATACCCTTCATGTCCTGTTCAGTAAGTCAAACTCCCTTAGGGCTTTCAACTCCCAAAGAAGAGGGGAAGGGGAGATCCCAGTCCCTGCTGCTAGAGCAGCCTTCACAAAGCCATTGCCAGTCCTGGCACAGCTCTCACCTTGCTTCCTGGTGCCACATGCAGTTCATTTCCCCTTTCTCTTTGCCTACCAGGGTCCTTTAAACTGTTCCTCCACTGGGAGCATACCATGCGCCTGTTGAGGAGAGGGGCCCCCAGCCCCGTATTCCGCCTTGTTCAGTGTGGAGCCTGTAGACCCTGTCACATTACCCAACAATCCTGACATTCCTCCTTATTCACACCAACCATCCAAGCACTACACAGCTACTTGTTACACCACTTTTGAAAGATAATGGATAAAAACTGAAACCTATAGAATTTCCTAATATCTCAAACTCGGGAAATAGAAATCAGTAAATCTGGCAGAGTTGGAGGGAATTGCATGCACATGCCTATCTCGCTGTATAAAATCTCCTGTTCTAGCACTCTCTCTGAGAAAAGATTACTGCGCCAATTGACTCCCATTTACTTGAACACAATCATAACCATTATGATTACGCCTCCATATGATATCTAAAATGCTTGCTATGATGATATTATAATGGGGGGGATTCCCCCCCTCCCCGCATGCCATTTACGTTTTTATTGATGCTAACTGGTGATTATCTTTTGATGCTCAGCTATGCATTATGTGAAAGCAGCACAAATAAAGACAAATCAGTTTTGAACAGGGGAAAGGTTTTCTCTAAAGCATCCCAGCATGAAAATGGCTGCTAGGAGAAGACAGCTGCTTTCCATATGTAATTTTGCCAAAAATCAGATTAAACTTCAGAAAAAAAGTGCTCTCCTCCTAAACACAACATGGATTAACTGATTCCGTGGGGCAAGATAAGTTGGAGCTCACATACGACACATTTCTTTGTAGAGTTTCTTCTGAGCACAGACATTAACCTTTTTTTTAAATTACTTTATGCAAAAAAAGTATTTTTTGTCAAGATCAATAGCAAAAAGTTGATAAAATGTCAATGGCCAGGCCTGGATGTTTCTTGAAAGATCTCAGCATGATGTCTCTCATGACCTTAGGGTAACACAACTGCTCAGTTTTCCATCATAGTTCTCTTCCCTCAAGAATGCAAGAGGTAGCACATTTGATCTACAAGGCGATGCCAGAGTGGATCTGCTGAAATACCCTACTCAGAGAGCTGCTGGTTTGTATTATATGTGCAGCGGGGGAAGTCTTCAAAGTGTTTTAATGTGACCCTGCCACCCGCAACTCTGGTGACAAGTGCTGTGTTGCTCCCCAGTGTGAAGTGGACTGGAAGTTGCAAGAAGCTGACAAGCAAGTAGGGCAGCCAAGGGTCGGGCTGCGGCATATGGAAAACATAAAGTGTTTTTTCCAGTGTAAACTAAGGTATTTTTTCATAGAATACCTTTTCATTTTGTTTTATATCAGCAAATATGTACCAGGAAACCAATTTAAACCTAGGACTAGAGGGCGAATTAGTGTTTGCCCAGAGCCGTCTTTATTCCTTGTTACTCCACAAGGAAGTGCGCTTCAGTTCCACTCATCAGGGACCACCAGTAGAGAGGTGAATTAGTCATTCTTCCTGCTGATCCATGCCAGGAAAATCTGGGCTATCAGAAACACTGGGAGCAGGTGCTCCAGTCAGCGTTTAGACCTTGATTCATCAAGGTTCTTAAGCATGGGACTAACTTTAAGCAAGTGAGTAGTCCCCTTGACTTCAGTGGTATTACTCCCATGCTTAAAGTTAGGCATGTAGTTAAGTAATTTACTGAAGCAGGACCTTAGACACCAAGTTGATAGGCACTGTGGGTAATATTTTCAAAGGTACCTAAGCCACTTAGGTATTTTTGAAAATGTGATTTAGGACCCTAAAGTATTTAGGCACATTAAAAACGTATTAGTCTTTGTAAACATCTTGGATTAGAATCCACATTTAGGGGAACAGAATTGAACTATTTGATAAATTGTTCCTCCTTCCTGGAACATTCTATTAGGACTTTAGTAATGTGCAGGACAAGATTAAGGTAGGCAAACCACTGCTCAAAGCAGGGATGCACCACCCTCACTGGAGATCATGGATGCATAGTGCCTGCCTGCTACACTCTTCCAAAGGATGCACAGTGTCCTCCCCTCTCTTCCCTGCACATGAGGTCATGTCTGCTGGCTGGTGCAGAGAAGAGCGAGGGCCATACCCCCCATTTTGTTTTTCCACGCTTTTTTGGGAGGCCAGCACCAGTGGTGGCACTAGCTTCACACAGTCCTTGTGTCCTCTCTTCCCCTTGTGCACTGCTAGTTACAATCTAGCCCTACACTAAAAAACCATACAATAATAAACCTCAAATGACAGGATGAATAAAGCAGCATAATTATATATACAGAATACAGATTTTTATTTATTGCAGCTAGACTGCTCATGGGAGAGAATATATCTCAAGGAGGCAAGATTACATGGGGTCCAAATTGGTTTTATCATGAATAGTGCCACAGAAGAACTCAGAAAAAAAAATGGCACATAGTAGGCTCAATCTATCACTGCTACAATGCAAGCCTCAACAAAGCTATCTTTAAAAAAACTGATTCAATCTAAAACTAGAATTTCAGGCCCCTGGTCAACAACCCTTACACTTTCCCCCAAGATCCTTCTCCCACTTGTGCAGCAGAAACAGTGCTGTTCCACTGTATTTTGGTCCTGTACTTTCATGGATTTGCAGGCTGGATCTGGCCCTTCATGTCTATATTGTAGAGAGATTTTAAAACTTACTTACAGAACACAAAGTAGTAACAATACATAGCACTGACTGGAAATATCACTTTTAATCTTCAAAGTGCCTTTTCAGCATTAACTAAAGAATTCCCACTACCCTAGTGAGTTGAGTAAGTATTATTAGCTCAGTTTTATAGAATGGGAAAGTAAAGCAGAGAGGCCAAATCTGGTCTTAAAAAAGCAGAGCACATAGTCTGGCGTAGCAGCATTTCCGGCATCCCACAATGTTGTACAATGAATTACCAACTGGTAGTGCACTGAGCCTACGGGTGTGGAAGTATTTAATGCAAAGACTCAGGCACACAAGTAATAAATATTATTTCAATTTAAATTCAAATCCTCAGCTGATGTAAATCAGGGTAGCTCCATTGTCCACAGGACCCACTATTTAGCAGAAATCACTGCAGCTACGCTGACATACACCAATTGAAGGCGTGGCCCAGAATTCCTAATTGCATCTTGCCCAGGACTCACCATTTCTGTCAATGGCAAAAGGAACATCCGGGGTGACAATTTCATAATTGCATATCTGGCTGTACTGTGGAGAACAGTCCTCATCCACGGCTTCCACCTGCAGTATACTGTCATAGATCTTTCCCTCTGTCACTGTGGTCTTATACGAGGTCTCTTTGAAGGTAGGTGCAAACTCATTAACATCCTTCACCTGGATATGGACCACTGCCCTAAAAATATAGAAACAAAGAATTTGGAGAGAGATATCCATTCATCTTGACTTCAAACTGAGATGTCAATCTCCGTTCATTATCCAAACACATGACAGATTAACACCAAAGAGGGCTTGGAAAATAAAAACCTATGCACTGTGAGTAAAGTGCTCTTGTATCATTTTACTTCGTGTTTCATTTCCATTTTTAATCTGCACTACTTAATACTTTAATATGACATTTCTGTTACGAAAATGTGCAACAAAGTTATCATGGAGAAAGCCTAATTCTCCTCTTGCTTAACACCAGTGTAAATCAAGAGTCAGTCAGTGGAGTGAACCCTTTGTAAAAAAAAAAAGAAAAAAGGCATAAGAGGAGAATCAGGCTTAAAATGCTCCCTTAGACACCAATTGCTTAGACACTGAAAATATAAATATCTTGAAAAATCCCAGTTACTAAGTAAGCACCTTCCCTTCTTTCCAGGGCAAAAGTTAATTGTTTATCCACTCCCTAAGTTCCTAAAATACTCCAGATTCCATGTTCATTTCCCCAGATTCTTGCATGACATTTAGAGCTTGTGAAAGATGCTGCATTGAGAGCAATAAGGGCTGAATTCATCGACAGTATTTAAAAACAAGTCGTACATGGGCACTGGTAGGGACATCTTTCTCTTCATACCACGTGACTACACCTGAGCCTTGTTCTGGAAGGCAGTGTGCTGCAACCCTCCTCAGAAGGGCTCAGCTCTAGAGATTGGGAGAGTAGTTCAAGTTCCACGTTGATTCAGCGCTTAGCTGCTCCGGTGACTGACGATTATACAGCCCTCTGGCAACAAGTGTGACGCTGGATTGTTGTGTGATGTGGATATCTGTTAATAGGACCTGAACTAGGAGCACCAACTCATTTCACAGATAGCTAGCCACTAATCAACCATCTTCATGATTATTACTTAAATTAGAGTAGACCCTAGCAGGCCCAGCCAAGAGCACGCCCCCTTTGTGACAAGCACTTGACACATATGAGACAGTTCCTGCCAAAAGAGCATACAATCTGAATAGACAGCGATGGAAAGGGAAAAGAGGGATAGAGAGGTGAAGTGACTGTTATACAGTAGGTCCGTGGCAGAGGCAAGAACAGAACTCCAGCTTCAGTTCGGTGCCCAATCCAGTACCCCACACTGCCCTGCATTAAATAATAACAACTTCTAGTCACAGCTAACCAGACTTGGTTTTGATCACAGCCAGACCACAAAGTCCCAAAGTCTAATAACTGCTAGACTGCTACTGAAGTTTGAAAGAGAGAGACCATAGCATTTCATATGAAACTCCCAAAATTGTTACAGTGGAAAAACTAGCTGTGACTTGAAACTTGTTCTATTTTTCAGGTTGTGCCTTAAGAAAAACATGATTAAAAAAAAAATAACAAACCCACCCCCCCCCAAAAAACCAGATCATGATGCAGCTCACATTATATAGTAAAATAAATTCTTAAATTCCTGTATATCCGATATAAACAAAACGGTGCATTGTTTAAATGGCTCATACAGTAAATTGGGCAGTTTATATGGCAATTTCATGGTCTGTATCAGGGCAAATTTCATCTTTACTGACAATTGGTTTCATGTATCAGACAAAAGGCAGCACCATATCTGGGGCATTGGTTCTATATTGTCTCAGTAAAGAGTGCCACCTACTGACCCACCAACAACACTTCTTGCAGCCTCTGAATCTTTGGAAGATTCCCACCAAATGCTGAGCCAGGCAGGTCTGCTGAGCTTCTAGGGGCTAATAAAATCTCAGTGGAAAGGCAATAAAGCTGCAGCACATAAATGAAAATTAAAAAAGGTGATTTTCCCCCCTCCTAGTAGCTCTTCTCTACCATTTGAAATTGGCTGAATAAAGTTAGAGAAAAAATAAATTCAGCATAGTTTGGTTACATAGATATCAGTTAATTCTAGTTTCCAAGGCTCTGATTATTTGATTTAGCTGATCTGTTTAATGTGGGAAAATATTTAGTATGGAAAAAATAATTTAAAATCATTATTTTATTGTAGTCCATTTGATCAGTAGTTCTATTAAAACAGTTCCATTGAAATTACTGAAAATCAGGTCAATTTGAGTGAAATGTTTTTTAAACCAAAAAAAAAAAAAAAAAGACACCAACAATGCACAATCAATTCCAGTGATAAAGCATTTTGTTTCCATTTGCTTCCCACAGACTATAGCATAAAAAGAAGCTCTTCCACCTGAACTACATCTTTGAGTAAATACATGCCACAGCCAATGCATTTTTTTCCCTTATTGTCACTCACTTGTGAGATTTCTTCCAGTTTGTTCCACTAGGTCCCGCTCCACAGTCGTATGCCTGGATGATAAATGTGTACTCCTTCTGCAGTTCACAGTCAATTGGACTTTTTGCTCGGAGACGACCTTCTCCAGATGTCTTGTTTAGCACAACAGCTTCAAAGGGCATTTCCTGTCCATGGATTTTAAAAGCACAGATTTCGCCTGTAACGAATAAAACATGGGGAATATTATTGTTGTTTAGAACCGATTCAGACATGTTTGAGTGACATCTGATGTGCAGGCAACCACCTGTATTTCACAATCTGTGACAGATAAGTGATGTGGACTATTCGCTGAACAGCATACCATCACAAACTACCACTGAAATAAACAGAACCTCATGTAAATGAGTGAGAGGTAAAGGGACAGGCAGAAGGAAAAATAGAGAAAGTCTTTATACTAGGTCTCATCTTCTTTCGTTGCTATTCTTTCTTCTGACACCCGCACTGCCTCTGTTCCAAGTGGCAGCATGTCGATTTCACCAAATTGTTTTGGTTGGGGAAAAAAAAAATCAGGGAAAACAAAACCCAAACATTTCATTTTGAAATTTTTTCCAATTTTATTTCAAAATTTAAAAGGTTAAAAAAGTTCAAAATTGACACGAAATGTTTTGTTTCAGGTCAAACAAAATGTGTTGCTTGACGCAAAGTGATTTTTTTTTAACCTGCCAGTGAACTGAAAAATGTGCACTGCTCTACTCTCGGTACATTGTAAGTGTAACTTGTTCTATTTACACATATATACCAGTTCTGGAACAGAGGCAGTCACCTCTTTTCAAAATCTCAGCACTCACCCAAACATCTTATTCCCAGGAAACTATACTGTCCCAAGACTTACTTCCAAATACAGAGAATAAAAAGAGAACCAACTCTGTGCTATTTGCCACAGCTTCTCTCAAAGGACTACTATATAACAAAACTGACAAAACAGCATAGACTAAAAATTGCTTGCTTACTAACAAAAAATTGCAAGAATATATGTAAGAGCACCATCTGGTGACTCTTCCTATAACATTTTTAAACACACTTTTAATTAATGGCAAGTAGGCTACACTATGGCTCTTTGCCCATTTCACAGGTCGTCTATAGCTTCAACCTCTGTCTTGACAAACATGCCGCAGCTTTAGAGTGTAATCATTATGCTTCACCTCTGTAGGTAGGAAATAAGAAAATGTGGAGGCTATTGAACATTGTAAGGGAGGGTGTATTAGAGTCTGGTACTGTGGATTTCTCTACAGGATCAGCACCAGTTATTTAGCATTTGTGTTCATCCATACTTATGGCACAGCAGGAGAATACATACAATACATGTTTAGTTGGGGTCAGTGGCCCCACCACCTTACACAATAGCATGGATGGGATGCAACTTCTATACGAGTACATAGGCTGGAATGGTGGCTGCAGGTAGCCTGCACAGCTCTCATGGCCCTGGGCTGAACATAAGATTTCACCTTCCCAGACTCTGCTTGCTCCGCCTGCAAAAAACCTGAATGTTAGGGCTTTATGCAGGTGGATTTCACCAAATGGTCAAATCCCAAAAGGGGCTAAGTATCTGCATTTCGGTGTATTACTGTGGGAGTTGTGGGTGCTCAGCAATACCCAGGATCAGGCCCATTGCTGTGTATGAACTGTAATGGTATAAATAAAGGGGTGAAATTAATAAGATGCCAAGGATGATGAAGCTTGCTGAGTGCTGATCATGGGTGTTGATCATTGTGAATATATACTAGACATCAACTGAATGCCATATTCATCTCTGAGCAGATAATTTTCACTCCATGCATCTGAAGAATTGGGGGTTTTTACACATGAAAGCTTATGCCCAAACAAATCTGTTAGTCTTTAAGGTGCCACCAGACTTCTTTTTGTTTTTGAGGATACAGACTAACACGGCTGCCCCTCTGATCTCTGAGCAGAGTGTTATCCTTATTTTTCTGCAACAAAAAATTCTGAAATAATACTGTGGACTTTGATTTTAATTTAATGCCTTTTCTGATACATCTAAGTGATATTGTTATATAACAACTGAAGTTTAATGGAGAAATATTATTCACGGCATTCTGTAACAATGGCTTTCCCACAGTTCTTAATAATAAAGTTTCCCCACAGATGTACAGTCCATCAATACAAATCATACCTTTAGGTTTTTGTGGTTATTACTATATTGATCTCATCTGATTATGAATAATACAACATTTTTAGTCATCCGATTCTGGCCTTTTAAAAAATAAAATAAAAATAGTTTACTGCAGTAAAGAAGAAAATTAGCTGAATCTCACACACTCACACACACACACACACGTTTGTCAGGGTCAAACCTGAGTGATGCTGTGACCACTTGCACCAGGGTGCAATGCTACTTGCTCAAATTTGGCCCAGCAGCCCCTTCACCATAACGGAAGGGCAGTCAGGCCAAACCTGAGCAGCACTGCATCCCCAAGTACTAGAGCATATATTTGCCTAGGGTCCAGGGATGAATTAATCTGGCCCTGTTTGTGATTATCCTGTTTTTCTTTCATTTCCTCATTGCGTTGTACAAGCAATTCTCTACAAAGGGAGAGGTTGACTTTAGTTCCTGGGTTGGCCTTACAGAGACCCATGGGAAGGTTGGAAAGACAGGAACAAATCCTTGTACAGAGATTCACATAGGGCATCCACATGGCACATGCTAGTGTAGGCTTAGGAGGAGCTCCTAGTGGGAGCAGGTGTTACTCTTTCTTCCATGCCAGCAACTTGAAGTTCTCCCTCCCCATCCTTCTCTAGGCATGCCTGAGAAAGGGACCTTTGTCCTGGACCTGTAAGTAAAGATATGCTTTAAATTTTGTGGGACAACTGCTTTCACAACTCTGGCATCATTCAGACTTATCCTCACTCATGCACATGCCTATCTCGCTGTATAAAATCTCCTGTTCTAGCACTCTCTCTGAGAAAAGATTACTGTGCCAATTGAAAAGGAGTACTTGTGGCACCTTAGAGACTAACCAATTTATTTGAGCATGAGCTTTCGTGAGCTACAGCTCACTTCATCAGATGCATACCGTGGAAACTGCAGCAGACTTTATATACACACAGAGAATATGAAACAATACCTCCTCCCACCCCACTGTCCTGCTGGTAATAGCTTTGATAAGCTATTACCAGCAGGACAGTGGGGTGGGAGGAGGTATTGTTTCATATTCTCTGTGTGTATATAAAGTCTGCTGCAGTTTCCACGGTATGCATCTGATGAAGTGAGCTGTAGCTCACGAAAGCTCATGCTCAAATAAATTGGTTAGTCTCTAAGGTGCCACAAGTACTCCTTTTCTTTTTGCGAATACAGACTAACACGGCTGTTACTCAGAAACCTGTGCCAATTGACTCACATTTACTTGAACACAATAATAATCATTATGATTATGCCTCTAGATGATATCTAAAATGCTTGCTTAAGGCTTAAGTTGAAACTGATCACCAGAGAAGAGGCTGAGGATATGATTCCCTCATCCCACCCCTACAAGAAATATTAGTCAAGGTAATTAACTTTAGTTTTGTTTGGGGCTTTTTGCCTCCCTTCAAAACATACTGCAGTATGATCTGAAGGGACCAGAAGGGTGAAGGGCTGCTTTACAAAGTCTTCAAAGACAGGGGATGAAGGCGGCGCTACCAAAAAAAAAAGCATTTGCCCCATTTAGGATAAGTTCCTTTTTATGGTGCCTTTCAGCTCCAAAGCTTGGGCATTTGTGGATAGGTGGAAGTCTCTTGCAGTAGAAGTTGGTTGTAATGAATGCCCATAAAACAGGCATGAGAACAGGTATCCTGAGGATGCTGTGTGGAGGGAGTGGTGGTGGAAATAGGGCATGGAGGAGGGTCTATACAGAGCTACAGAGACCCCCTCGGGAAAAAAAACATTTTTCCACAATATTGATATGGGTGGGGAATTGCCTCTTGGGGACCCCCTTGGGTTTATGAGTACTTGCTACAACATTAGCTATTGACTACATGGTTACATCTCAGTCTGCATTCCTGTAATTCAATAAAAGTTGTGGCCATTGACATTAACCTATTTATGAGTGTTGTGTTCTCTCTGCACATCATCCAGATTGGCTTCAGCAATATACACTTACTAAATTTGAGACCTATGTTACTTGAAGTGTGAACTTTGGTAGAGATCCGTGGATTACTACTGTAGGGCAATCAATCATATCATTTCCCATTTAGGAGTTATGCTGAACTGAAAAACAGTACTGGTAACTCGCCATTCTTGGCGTATAATTAACAAATCTCCTCAACACTTTGAAATTCTTATTAAAACAAAATCTGATATTCAGCAACCTCTACATGCAAGGCTTAGGATATCAATTATTGCTCAAAATCAACCAGACTGTCCTAAAAGTGACTCCCATTTCAGGGAATTGGCACTGATTTTAGTGGCAGAGGATCACGCCCCTAATTTATTTAATCTACAAACCAGGGGTGAAAGTAACTTAAAGGATTTACCAGTATTCCAGAGTCCTGAGCAGGGGGGCGTGGCCTCAACCGGAAGAGGCATGGCCTCAACTGGAAGAGGTGGGGCCTTTAAATACCTGGGCCCTGTAAATCAAGATTTAAAGGCCCAGGGCTCCAGCTGCGGCTGGGAGCCCCAGCTCCTTTAAATCACCCCCGGAGCTACCAGCTGCAGAGGCGGCTGGGAGCCCCTCAGGGATGATTTAAAGGGCCCAGGGCTCCGGCCGCCGCTACCACAGAGGAGCTCTGGGCCCTTTAAATCACCACCAGAGCCCTGCCACCGCTACCCCAGGGCTCCAGCAGTGGGGCTCTGGAGGTAATTTAAAGGGCCAGGGGCTCCGGCCGCTGTGGGGAGCCCCAGGCCTTTTAAATCACTGCCAGAGCCCTGCTGCTGCTACCCCGGGGTTCCGGCAGCAGGGCTCAGGAGGTGATTTAAAGGGCCCAGGGCTCAGCCACTGCAGGGAGCTTTAAATCGCCAGCCTGGGGAAGCCAGTCCAGTCCGGCACGGTGTACTGGCTCTTGCCGGTATGCCGGACCGGACCAGACCCGTTCACTTTCACCTCTGCTACAAAATCAATTGTTGGACTTGCATTGACAGCTACAGAGAGGAAGCTACTTTAGTTTATAAATACAAAGGAAAACAGTTTATTTAATTAATTTCAGAAGGAGCCAACAGATGAA